ATTCCCACTTGTGCCCCTTTCCTACAAAACTTCAGGAGAGGATTGGAATGACAGTGAGATGTTTTCACAGCTGTGGTGTCAGCTCTTGGCCCTCCCCAGAGCAGGATAAAGCACGGAACATGGACAAATCCAAGAAATCCACATTCCTTCTGCTTCCCAGGCATGGCCAGGAGCTGGTATGTCTATAACCTCCCTGCCTGACCCTATTTCTCTCAGTGTTTCTTGAATACACAAGGAGCATTTTATCAGCTAGGAACATACTTGATTGGGAAAACTTCTGATCATCCCAGGCACGAAATGCCATGCCTTGACAGACAGGCTACTCCTAATCCATCTGTTCTTAAAGCAATGGATACAAATTGACACGAATGGAAGTCAATAAAGCAGATCCTGGTGCTCCTGGTTGCACCCCCCTCTTGACTTGAAAACCTTTTCCTTGGTTTATCCTATTCATCATTGTTATTTGAGAACTGTATCACAGTATTATTTTTAAAATGTGAAGGTTGTCTTGGCTTAGAAAACTGTGGAAAAGAGATGAAATGCTCTTGGGATTGAAGGCAGTTGTTCCTGAGTCGGGCGGGCAGGCGGGTGGATCCAGCACACTCCCTCATCTCCTGGGTTGGAGGCATTTATGTGAGACTTCCCCAGGGTCCTCCAGCAAAAATCCTGAGGATGAGCTCGATGTCCTTCTTGGAGAGAGGAAGGTGCTGCTCTGTGATGATGCTACTGATCCCAGTTGTTCCCAGTGGGGTCACAGAAAGGAGCTCCCCCTTGGTAGGCTGGGTGAAGACTGCTGAGGGATCCCAAAGGCTCTGCCAGGGGCTGTGCTTCCAAGGCTCCCAAACTAGTTGTTTGTGAAGGATGCTCCTGTGCAAGGCAGGATGATGAAGCAGGGTTGGTTTTTGGCTGCTCCCGCTGAAGTTCATGTGTGCCCTCTGTCCCAAATCCCATTTATGATGCTGAAGACATCCTTGAGGGGAGCCTGGCGTGACACATCTCATCCCCCCGGGGCTCAGAACTGAGCTTTGCAGGGTGAGGAGGGGGCTGGGGCAGCCAGGGCTTGGGACACCCCAGAGCCCATGTCTGCTCCTGCCTCCCTCCCTCTGGGGTTGGACAAGACCCCTGGGGAGTCCTGACCCTGTGGAAACCCCGAAGAGATTCCTGTCCCCAGGAGAATTCTAAGCCCATTCCAGGAGGATTCCCGTACCTCTCCCAGGGAGGAACCTTCCCCACAAGAGAGTTTCCTACTGCCACAGGGGCATTTCTGCCCCACCTCAGAATCTTCTGTCCTCCCAGGGGAATTCCTGCCCCCCAGGAGGGTTTCTGCCCTCAAGGAGAGTTCTCCTGGGGGGATTCCTGTCGCTCCTGAAAGTCTTTTAAGGCCCAGAGGGGGGTCCCTCCCCTTTCCAGGGGGATCCTGTCCCCGGGAGCACCCCCGGCCCCGGCCCCGCCCTGACCCCCGACCCCCTCCCCTGCGGGCGTGGCCGCTCGGGGGCGTGGCCGGGGGCGTGTCCAGGCGGGGACGGTGACGCAGTGGGCGGGGCAGGGCGGGGCGGCAGCGGCGGCAGCGGCGGCTTCCAGCGACTTCGGCGGGCGGTGAGTGCGGGCGGGGCCGCGCTGCCCACGGGGGATGCTCAGCCCCGCGCGGGGCCGCCCGGGGGGAGCTCTGCCCCCGTGACCCCCGTGGGGCCGCCCGGGGGGGGCTCAGCCCCCCGGTGGGACCGGACCCGCAGGGCTCTGCCCGTATTGCCTGCCCCGGGGATGCTCTGCTGCCCCCCGAGAGGATGCTCGGCCCCCTCCGTGGGTATGCTCAGCCCCCGGCGGGGCTGGACTCGGCGGGCTCTGCCCTTTTTGCCACCTCCCGGGGATGCTCTGCCCTCCTCCCCCCCACCCCCCTTTCTGGGGATGCTCCCCATTGCCCCCCGGGCGGGGCCGCAGTAGGGATGCTCAGCCCTGCCGTGCCCGGGGGATGCTCTCCCCACTCCCGCCCGGAAGAGGCTGACTCGCTCCGGGGGTGCTTCATCTCCCACCCCGTTACCCCTTGGAGGGGGTGTCTGAGTCAGGGTGTGCTGAGCTCCCTCATTTCCCTTGGGCTGAGTCTGAGCTGGGGAGTGTCATTCTCGCCCCGAGCTGGGTTGGAGGAGGGACTTGCTCTGCCCCGGCTTTACCCGCAGACTGAGCATCTGAGCTAGGGTTGCTCCCCTCAGTCCGCTGGCCCCGGACCGAGAGCCGGGGAGATACTCTGCCCCATCCCCACTGGGTGTGCAGGCAGGGGGTGAAGGGTGGGCACATCCCCCGAGGCCGCATGGTATGGGGGGCAGGGAGGGGGCAGTTATTCCTTAACCCGGTAGAGGGGGTCTTGATTTTCAGCTGCTCTCTGCCTCTGGCAGCCCCCCATATCCTCCCAAACTGTCCCTTTACATCCTGTTCCCCAGATTCTACCTTACACCGAGGGGAGGGCAGGAATGCGGGTGAGCCTGGTCCTACCACGGCCTTCTCC